ACGTTTTTTGATTTCCTGGCTACTGGTGCCAAGAGTGTTGACTGTGGAGCCGAGCAAACTGAAGCTGTGAACAATCTCAATCTTTTCACCATCCTGATGCTATGTGCTGTCAAGTTGACACCTAGGGACCCTATAAACAATAGTTCTGAACCCTGTCCTATCCTGATCTTTGAAACACCTGTACCACAATCACTGTCTTAATCCATCTCAGCCAGGGTCTTCCTCTCCTGCACTGACCTTCTATTCTTCAAAGCATGATATTTTTCTCCAAGGACTGAACCCATCTGGCAACATGCTCAAAGTAGGTGAGACAGAGTTTCAAAATCCTTGCCTCTAAGAACCAGCCTGGTTTCACCCTCTCCAAGTGAAATCTGTTTATTCTCTTGGCAGTCCATGGTATGTTCAGTATTGTTCTCCAGCACAACTCAAAGGCATCACTTCTTCTGCCATCTGTATTTATTGTCCAGATCTCAGATGCATAGCAAGCAACTGTGAAGACCATGGCCTGGATCAGGCCCACCTTAGTCTCTAGATTGACAACATTGCTCTTTAGGAAATCTTTTGTCAGGCCAGAATGCTAAAGGAACTCATCTTTTGATTTCCTGACTGCTTGTGCCAAAAGTGCCAATTGTGGATTTGATCCTTCTTTGTAATCTGTCTTAACCTGAAAGTCTAGCCTAAACCTGTCCATCATGGGTAACTCTGCTGGTATCCAGTTCTCATAACTACTTACCCAGTGCTTTTCTGCCTAGTGACTGTACTTTTAATAGTTCAGAAGACATTAATATGATCATTTGTTTAGTGTTTCTTTGGAATCTGCACAGTATAGTCTTTGCCCTGAACAGGGTTGGAACCTTATTTTGAAAATGCTTATGCCTCTGTAAGTAATTCTTTAAATAATCTCTCTGTAATAAGTTCTCTAAGCAATCCGTGCTTAGAAAAATGGCAGTGAACCATGAAAATGTGCCAAGAGTTTTTAAGCCAGTATCTAAACTGGGGTAGAGTAGTTTGATTAAATTGTACTCTAGTGTTTCAGAGCCTAGCTAGCCCTCAGCTGTATCAGTGCTCAAACTTGAGACTAACTCCTCCTGTCAAATTTAGAAAAGATTGAATTGTGTAAAACAGCTTTCCACTTTACTGGGTAATGGAGATAATATTTCCTGGTAATCGAGCCGTTAATGTACTTCTTCAGTGCCCCATCTGTCTCTTATCAAGATAGCTTAGACGTAATTTTATTTCATGATCTTAGAGTCAAGAAAGAGCTACACCTTGGTGAGTTCGGCCCAGTGATATCTTTCATAATTGGTGAACTAGTGGTAAGAGACTGTGCTGAAATCCCCAAAGCACTTGGTTCGGATTGACCAGCAGCCTCTTAGGAGAAGGATGGGCAGTCTGCTCTCATGGAATGAACTGTCTCTGAAATTTACTAGAAGGTCAGCTATGAGTCAGTTTCACATCGATGGCACACAACAACAACATTGCACAGTAGAACACACCACACCAGTAATATCTGCCCTCTCTGCAAATTTTAAGAAAATGATCCTGTCAAATAATCTTCACTCTATAGATTTCTGAGTCCCCTACAACCTGATACATAAATAGCTAACCTTGAGTCAGCTTCAGTTTATTATAATCTTATGAAAACAAAACAAATGTTATCTGGTTCTGTGTCATCCTTAGGATCTCTAATGTGTTTGAGTCTGTGGGTCTGCTGTTGGGCCCATCCATCTCACCAAAGCCTCTCTCACCTGCGCTTCCTCCATGCTATTGGGTGCTTGTACAGGTTGAGAAGCAGACTCCTTACTTGGACACATTTTGGTTTACTAAATAAGACACAGCTTTTTACCCATTGGATTCTGCTTCTGAACTAAATTCATAGGACTTAAAGTAGAATTTTGGGTAGTAGTCAAACCCTTCAATAATACTTCTGATTTCTTGGTTTTCCTCTATATATTACCAGTAACTTCCATGGTGTGTAAGTTCTATTGGCATGATATGGAATTAGACTTTTTTTAAATTCTATATTTGACTGTCAAAAATAACTTAGAAGTTGCTAGTGACAATTTTTCTCTCCTTTTATTCACAAAAGGTAAATTTTTTACCCAGCCATTTAGAATGAAAGAAGGCTCATTCTATACAGGCTCCCCTTTATCAGGGGCACGTTTTCCACAACACGTTTCAAACATGGAGCCACCAAAGCAAATATTGGAAAAGACTTCCAATATAAAAGCCATGGAGACTTCAAGGATGAATCACACTGAAAAGCTAAACCAGGTGAGATATTTGAGTCTGAAGATCTGAATGTGTGGAAAATGTGTTTTGAAATTGAGATTGGGTTATCGTTTTCTTGTTGAAGTGCTAGAGTATTCCACAAATCTTAGTTACGAGTCTCCTGTCATTGCCAGACATAAGAGATGAATGGAAGCTTCACCAAGGAAGAGGGTCGGATGGCCAGCAAACACATGAAAAAAATGCTTTAAGTCGTAAACTATTGTGGTTGTTGTTAGATGCTGTCAAGTTGAGTACAACTCCTTGTGACCTTATGATGAATAAACGATATGGTCAATGAATGGGGGGAGAAGAACCTTTGAGGTTATCATTTGGATCTGTTGGGAAAGTTGATCTCTTAAAAATTGAAGTCATTCACTTGTTTCAGATTTGAGTAAGCATTTCCTATAGCTCTTCAGGTTAATAAGAAGTGAGAGGCAGCAATGATGTAAGAATCAGAAGTACTGAGTGATGTACATTTCTACAAACGATGCATCCCCATTTTTATTATTTTTTTAAATATTATTTTGTGTGTGTGTGTGTGTGTGTGTGTGTGTACCGTCAAATCCGATCTGACTGGAACAGGAGGAGATTGTCCCTCCTTCTCCAGCAGAGCATCTGGTGGATTCAAACTGAGCACCTCTAGCATTGCAGTGCAGCTTCTTGCCAGCAGGCCACTAGAGCTCTCCACATCCCTGGTTTTGATTGGTATCTTGTGTATGTTATGTGTATATGCATGTTGTTTCCATGGGCATGTTACAAATGAAAACATAGCATCACTTTTTCATCTTCTCCCTTTCTACTGTTTTCTACAGATGATTCCCAAATCTGTATCACTGGGTATTGCTTCTTTTGGATGAAATATTTTTTAATATTTAATTTATTGCTATTTGTGTATTAGGTAAACTTCTTTGTTTTCTATTTTTAGATGCCTTCAATTCTCAGCACGTATCTCTATTTAGCATTCACACATTATCTACTATTTTATGTATAATGTAAGGACATTGGAATAGTAGACTCACTGTTTTCTCCTCCCACCTTTTCTGGTATTTTTATAATGAATTTTAATTCCACTTATGCTGTATACTCCTCAGTGCATTGCTGCTTTTACTTTAAATTATAATAGTCCATTATCTTTTAAAGAGATTTAATGAAACATTTTATGTTTATTCACATTATTTCTACAGTCATTTCTGTCCACATTTATATCTGGCATTTTTCTTCCTTCTAGTTTGATAATCTCAGTTTCTGAAATGCAAGCCTGTTAATGATGAAATTTTCATCTTTCTGGGTTTTTAAAAAAGCTTCATTTTTGAAAGACACTTTCACTAGGTATGAAATTCTAGGTGGATAAAGTTTTGTTTTTACTCATTTTTCTTTTGTCATTTCAGAGATCTTATTCAGTGTCTTCTGGTTTGCATAGTTTCTCACACTAATTTTATAATAATAACCATTTTCTGCTATATATGGTATTTATTCTTTCCTCATTAAAATGAAAACAAGTCCACAACAATCAAAATATGAGTCTATCCCACCTGAGTTTAAAAATCATCTTAAGAAAAGGTTTAAAGTATTGAACACCAGTGGTTGTAGGCAAAATGAATTATAAGATGACATCAAGGTTATCAGCCACGAAGAGAGCAAAAGGTGACTACAATGACATAAGATGACGAAAAAAACTAAAATAGCTGTCAGAAGAGACCTTGAAAACTACACTAGAACATCAAGAAGCCAAAACAAAGAGAAAATATGTTGAAATAAAAGAGCTGAACAGAAGATTTCAAAAGTCAGCTCAAGAAGACAAAGCAAACTATTGAAAAAGGCAGAGACCTAGAATTGGAGAATAAAATAGGAAGAACTCCCTTGGCATTTCTCATGCTGAAAGCACTGAAAAACAAATTGAAGCCTCAAGTTGCAATACCTAGAGATGCTATGGGCAAAATCTTAAACGATCCAGGAAACATCAAAAGAAAATGGAGGGAACAGACAGTAAGGAAAGAAGTTCAAACTTCAGTGAAGGCATTGGCAAAAATAATAAGGCCCTAGGAATCAATGGGATACCAATTGACATGTTTCAAATGACAGATGCACAACCCTGGACTTGCTTGCCAGTCTATACCAGGGAATTTGGAGAACAGCTGCCTGGTCGACCAACTGGAAGAGATCCATATTTATTCCCATTCACAAGAAAGGTGATCCGGCAAGCTCTGGTGGCCTAGTGGCAAGAAGGTGTACTGCATTCCCAGAGGTGCACAGTTCAAATCCACCAGATGTTCTGCTGGAGAAGGAGGAACAATCTCCTGTACCAGTCAGATCTGATTTGATGGCACACACACACACACACACACACACACACACACACACACAATAATAAAATAAAAAAATTTAAAAAAAGAAAGGTGATCCAACAGAATGTGGAAAATATTGTAATAAGATCATTAATAAAACATGCAAGCAAAATACTGCTGAATATCGTCCAAAAAATTACTAAACAGTGCATAGAGAGCTGCCAAAAGTTCAAGCTGGATTTAAAAGAAATTGTAGCACTAGGGATATTATTGTTGATGTCAAATGAATCTAGGCTGAAAGCAAAGAATACCAAAAGAGTGTCTATTTGTGTTTCATTCACTAGGCAAAGATATTTGTGTGGATCATAACCAACTATGGCTAACATTGAGAATTGGAAAACCAGAACACTTAATTTTACTTTTGTGAAACATACACCTAAACCAAGAAACTATTGTGCAGACAGAGAAGAGAATACTACATAGTTTTAAGAAAGGCGTGCACCAGGGCTGTATCCTTTCTCTATACCTGTTCAATCTGTATGGTGAGCAAATTTTTGGACAAGGGGGATTATAGGAAGAACATGTGGCATCAAGATCGGAAGAGGACTCTTCAGTAATCTTCAATATGTAATGATACAACCTTGCTTGCTGAAAGTGAGGACTTGAAACACTTTCTGCAGAAAATCAAACTCTGCAGCTTTCAAAATAGATTGCTTCTCAAAGTTAGGAAAACAAAAATTCTCACCACTGGACCAATATATGATAGATAGAGAAAAGATTGAAACTGTCAATGACTTCATCTTACTTGAATCCACAATCAGTACCCCTAGTACCAGAAGTCAGGAAGAAGATCAGGAGATATATTTTACTGGGAAAAGTCTGCAGTCAGAGATCTCTCTAAATTACTGAGGAGCAATTATGTTAGTTTGAGGAGTAAGGTGTGTCTGTTTCAGACCATGGTCTTTTAAGTCAGTCACTTGCTAGGCTGCTGAGAGCTGGACAATGAATAAGGATAACAGAACTGGTACCTTTGAACTCTGATGTAGGGGAAGATTACTGAATATCCCATAGATTGACAAAAGCCACACACAGTGTGCTTCTTGGAGGTAGGAGAATGGTGAAGGTTCATCTCACATACTTTGGTCATGTTGTTAGGAGAGGCTGTTACTTCAAGGAGGACATCAAGAAAGGTGTGTGGATGAGGAAACGAGAGGAAGACCGACTCTCAGCCAGGTGGATTGACACAGTGACTGCAGCAGTTGGCTCGAGTATGTCGTATTGTGAGGTTGGCACAGCATAGGAAAAGTTCAGACCTGTCATTGGCACCTGACAACAACAAAGAAGGTTAATTATCTGGAAAAATCTCAATGTTTCATTTCATAAAGATTCCATTTACCTTAAATGCATATGGTACTGCAATGCTTCCTACTTTTCTGAATAATGCTATTTTCCATTTAATAGATTACCTTCAATAATTTTTTTCTTTGAGAAACTATTTATGTTTGCCTTTGACTTTCTTTAGGAGAGGAGAGGGACTAGGATTTAAACTTTTTTTTTTTTTCGTAGTTGGAAAACACATTCAAATCAGTTATTGTTCAACTTGGACCTGGAGGGACTATCGACCCAGAGATAAAACAAAAGATTAAATTTGTAAGTATTTTCTGTTTCTGGATAACAGATAAGGATAATAGATTATACACTTATATATATATATATACACCTTGTATTTTTAACTTAAATCTTAGTAGTTATTATTTTATATTTGTACCTGATATTTTCAAATACACAGCAAAAGAATGTATTTTAGGAGCAAATAGATACACATTTCTATAATTCTTTTTTAATTCTGGAAAAATTATTTAGAAAAAAATGTGAACTTCTTTGTAAGTGTTATTCTCTCTCTTCCTTCTGCCTTATCTCAGTAAACCAATTTTAGCATGTTTTCAACACTAATTTTATATACATGAATACATAGGTTTTTCTCAACAGTTGCTTGTGATGATGCACTATGTTTAATTTGACATTTGGGTTGTTTATAACCATGACTTTAATGAATGAGTGAAATGAAATCAATGAATGGCACTTCAGTCATTTCCCTCATACACTTAGCTAAAATGGAATTGCCAGACAAAGGTATATTTAAAATTATTTTAATGAATATTGCTAAATTGCCTTCTAGAATAAATGTGACAGTGAATGAGCATGTGGTGTCTCTACCTTTCTCCAAATATTAAACAGTGTTACTGTCTAATAATTTTCATTTAAGCTTCTTAATTAAGACATTTAAGCATATTTTCATGTGCTTAGTAACAATATGCCCCTGGAATTGATGGACTACCAGTTGACATATTTGAACGAACAGATGCAGCCCTGGATATGTTCACAGGTTTGTGCCAAGAAATCAGCAGGACAGCTACCTGGCCAACTGACTGTAAAAGATCCATATTTATTCCCATTTCCAAAAAAAA